TTTTAGGCAAAGCAAAAGCAAAAAATAGATCTAATTAAAACAGATAATCAGAGAAACTACATTTTACTAAAAGATACCAGGGACAATGAAGCAATACAAATACTAAACATATATGCACCAAGTGGCATAGTATATATATTTTTAAAGGAAAAGTTAAATGATTTTCAAGAGAAAAAGCAAAACTCTACTAGAGGGAGACCTCAACTTTCCCCTCTCAGAACTGTATGAATCTATCCATAAAACAAATATGAACTAAATTAAGGAGATAAATAGAGTTTTATAAAAATTAGATATGATTGACCTCTGGAGAAAATTGAATGGAAATAGAAAAAAGCATATCAATTTCTCACCTGTGCATGGTCCCTTCACAAAAATTGGCCCTATGTTAGGGCATAAAAATTTCACACAAAAATGCAGAAATATATAAAAATTAAATGTACCTTTTCCAGAACATAATGCATTAAAATTATATTTGATAAAGAGCTATTGAAGCAGAGGTTAAAATTAATCTAATCCTAAAGAATGAATCATAGAACCAATCACAGAAAGTATCAATTATTTCATTAAAGATGATGACAATAATGAGACAACATACTAAAGTTTGTGGGATGCAGCCAAACCAGTAATTAATGGAAAATTTGTATCTCAAAAAGCTTACATAAAAAAAAAGAAATGAGTGAATTAGATATGCAACTAAAATTAAAAAAAATCAGGAAATTAAAAATCCTTGTTTAAACACTGTATCTTCAGGTGGCAGTGAGGTGGTGCAGTGGATAGAGCACCGGCCCTGAAGTCAGGAGAACCTGCGTTCAAATCGGCCTCAGACCAAATACTTGACACTTACTAGCTGTGTGACCCTGGGCAAGTCACTTAACCCCAATTGCCTAAAAAAAAAAAGAGGAAAAAAGAAACATTATATCTTCAACACAAAAGAAGAGCAATAGAATTAAAAATAAAACTATGAACTAATAAATAAAAGTAGGAGCTAGTTTTGTGGGAAAACAATTAAAATAAATGTTTTTTTAAATAAATAAATGATAATTTTTATAAATAAAGCAAGTTTCACTGGCTAACTTGATTTTATAGAAGAAAGGAGAAAACCAAAAGATGAATACCAAAAGTGAAAAGAGTAAATCAAATCAAATCAAATGAAATTAAAGCATATTAAGAATGATTTTGCCCAGCTATATGCCATGTCAATGAATTGACAATCCAATTAAAATGGATTAATATTTCCAAAAATATGCATTGTCCAGATTAACAAAAGAAGAAATGGCAGTTTAAATAACTCTATCTTAGAAAAAGAAATTGAACAGCCATAAGTAAATTCCCTAAGTGAGGGACAGGGACAAGAACAGAAAGAGATGTATTTACAAGTGAATTCTACCAAACATGTAAAGAACAATTAATTTAAATATTATATAAAGTATTTATAAAAATAGGTAAAATAATTTACCAAACTCCTTCTGTAACACACTTTATTTTAATGCTTAAACCAAAGAGAGCAAAAACACAGAGAGAAAATGATGAACTAATGTCCTTAATGAATATTGATGCAAAACTTTAAAATAATATACTAGCAAGGAGATTATAGAAATGTATCACAAAGATCATACACTATGACCAGATGGGATTCATATCAGGAATGCAGAGCTAATTAAATATAAGGAAAAAAACTATAACCATAATTGACCCTATCATAACAAAAATAAAAATCATTTGATTATGTCAATAAATGCAGAAAATTTTTTGACAAAATGTTAACACCATTCCTATTAAAACAAAACACTGGAAAGCAAGTAGAGCTTGTCTTAAAATGCTAGGTAGTATCTATATAAAACCAAGAACAGCATTATATGTAATCACACCAAGCTAAAGGCTTTCCTGGTAAGATCAGAGGTGAAGCATGGATGTCCATTATCACCATTATTATTCAATATTGTAATGTAAATGTTAGCTATAGCAACGACAGGAAAAATAAATTGAATAATGGGTATACTAGAATACAAAGAAGATAAAATTACCATCTTTTTGCATATAATATAATGGTATACTTAGAGAAATCTAGAGAATCAAATGGAAAAAAATGTTTGTCAAAGTTGCAGTTTATAAAATAAACCTACACTAATCATCAGCATTTCTAGAAATTGTCAATAAAATATTGCAGGGAGAGACAGAGAAATTCTATTTGAAATAGCTATAGGCAGAAGGAAATACTTGAGAGTCTACTTGCCAAGACAACTACAGAATCTGTATGAACACAATTCAAAATACTTTTCACACAAAAAGACAGATCTAAACATGACAATAATACCTTAATTACTTATTCAGAACTACTGAAGAATTAGTTCATAAAGCTAGATGTGCTAATGGAGTTTAGCAAAAAAGGTAGAAATTTTGTAAATAATTTTGAGGCATTTATTTTGCTTTGGTGTAAGTTTTCTAAACTATTATTTGAATATGAATATGTTTAATATTCACAGGAACATAGAACTAAATTTGGAAGGTACCTCAGAGGCCTTCTAGTTCTACCTCATTTTACACATGAAGAACTTGGGTTCTTTCTTTCTTGGGTTCAGTCTTTCTACTTTACCATACTGACTAATTAAAAGAAAATAATGAAGCTTTAGAATTGGCTTAACTCAGATAGTAGGATGTTTCATGTAGTCCATTCCATAAAGAGAATAGACTACTAGAGCACCAATGTAATCAAAAGTGCCCCTTCTTGAAACCTTTCCTTCAATGCTTCAGGAATACATGATTAGTTCCTGTGGGGGTTCCATCCACTGATGCAGATCACAATGCTTCTTCATCTTAGTAGATGATTTTTATACATTTCAATGCCTCTCTCCACCTCAAAAATCTTCCTATGGAGACTAATCTTCTGGTGAGCATCCTCTCTGAACTTAGCTTTTCTTATCTTTATATGACAGATATCTTGATATTAGGTAGACATTTCCTAAATTGAGTGTTCTACAAATACAGTATTATAAGAATTGAAAAGATCAATGATTTTGCTGTTGTAGACATTCCCTTCACCAAATGTAAATTACTGTCTACTGGTTGATTACCTACTACTGATAGATAGTATTTATTAATTGTCACAGAATGATTTCTTATCTGGTAATAAGCCTTTCTATCCTTGGCTAGAATGATTGTTTGATGACATTAAGATTTTGCTAAAAACCATCCCTAGCTTGGTAGGACTTTCCCAAGATTGTATCCCGCTGGCACAGCCTTTAAGCCCTATTGGCATAGTCTTCTTTACTGACACACATTTTATTAACACAAGATTTTATAGGGGAGTCCTTAAAAACAGAGACAGGGCAGCTAGATAGCATAAAGAATAGAATATTGGGCTTGGAATCAAGAAGGCTCATTTTCGTGAGTTCAAATTTGGCCTCAGACACCTACACCCTGGACAAGTCATTTAACCCTGTTTGCCTCAGTTCCTCACCTGTAAAATGAACTAAAGAAGGAAATGGCGAACTACTACAGTATCTTTGCCAAGAAAATCATAAATGGGGTCATTAAGAGTCAAACACAACTGCAAAATAACTGAACAACATTAAATAAAAACAGAGACAATAATTAAGAGTTTAAAAAAGTATCAAGGAACTTTCCAGATAGTCTATTTCATAAAAAAATAAAATTAAAGCATTTATCAAACTCTTACTATATGCCAAACATTTTGCTATAAACTGAGCATATGAATGCAAAAGCAAAATAGTCCTTGCCCTTAAGTAGCTTACCTTCTAATATAGGAGACAACACATATAGAGGAGTTAGTAGCCACAGATTGCAAGCCAGAGTGTTGTCTGGGAAGTCATTACATAAGTTAAAGTAGTAATATCAACAAAGCAAGAAGTTAGACAGAATCAATGCTTATTGTAAATAAATTAGGAAATATCTAAATATAATTGTTATCTAGAATTCATTTGACTCAGTCATAATACTTTTGTGAAATTGGAAGAAAAGGGGGTGGCTAGATGGTGCAGTGGATAGAGCACCAGCCCTGAAGTCAGGGGGCCTGAGTTCAAATCTGGCCTCAGACCAAATACTTGACACTTACTAGCTGTGTGACCCTGGGCAAGCCACTTAACCCCAATTGCCTATAAAAAATAAATAAATGATAAATAAATAATAAATAAAAGAAATTGAAAGAGTAGGCATTATGATACCCATGTAATAAATGGGAAATGAGGTTCAAGCTTTCAAATGTTTTGTGTGACCCTATGAGGGTGGCAGTATAAACATTATGATCCCTTCTTAAAAATAAGAAAACCCAGGCTAGGAGAAATTAAATTACTTGTTCATAGTAAGTGACCAAGCTGGAATTTGAACCCAGGTCTCCTATACCATGGTATCTCTCTGGTGTTAATGTCAAAGTTGTATCTAGGTTTGTTATATAGAGAGGAAAAAGCAGCTTTCTAGAGTTGTGGTTTTTCCCAATTGAAAATTCATTTAGCTGAGTCTATGTTGCAAGTGAGGGAGGTAGCAAGGAAGATAGCAAGCAGATAGAGTACTACTTGTCATGTGGAAATGTGGCAGCTAAGAGGACTGAGACACAAGCTATCTTTTCTTTTTAAATGAAGCAACCACAGGGGCTGTCTAGGGGTGCTGGGGATGATCAAAAAACCATCTGGGGTTTGCTACAACATGCAAAGTTCTGTCAGACCTGGGCAAAATAACCAGAAGCATGTCCCAAAGAGCCCAAATGGCCACTGGGACCAGAAATCATTTCTGAGCATGCTCCATGCATGTGGGAAGAGGTGACTATCACTTCTTCTATCTAAAAGTTACAATCCTAAGACAGACAAAAATTTAAAAAAAACAGTAATATCCATCTCGAAAATTCTGATCTTTATTTTTAAATTGAAGATAGTAATTCTACCACCTTGACCCATGTTGTTATCAAGCATTATTATTGTATAGTGCTTTAAAATCTTTATTGTGACAGAATTGCAAATTCTGATGTCATTCATTGAATTGGCTTACAGGTGAGTTTCACTGTGGATTTGAAGATGGTAACATCTGTTTGTTCACTCAAGATGATACAGATAATTTTGACTGGACAAAACAAAGTACTGCAACCAGAAATACAAAGTATACCCCAAATACCGGGCCTAATGCAGATCGCACTGGATCCAAAGAAGGTAGGAGATCCTTGTAAATGAGTTTTCCAAGTTCTACTATTCTATCTGTAGGCCCTTAAAATACAATATTAATGCAAAATTGATGATAGATTCAATTACAATTTTATAGTTTTACCATTTTCAATATTTCAAGAAATCTTGGTTTCATTCTCAGAGACTATTTTCACTGATTTATATTGCAACCTCTCCAAGTATTAAGAGAGAAAATTTCATAAGCCATTATGACCAACAATTTTACCACCTACTAGCCTACTTCCTGGTAAGATTATTTACTTATTTAGTGGGTCTAAGATGCCAGAGATTATGTTGCTGTGGAATCAGAAGAGGACTTTTATGGAAGATGTTTTTGATTATGTAGCAATTATAAAGATAAAACTATTGCATTATTCTTTGTATGATACTAAACTTGGAGATATTTTCAAATATTCTAGATGTTTCTTATCCCACAGGATCATTCATAAAGCAAGATAGAAAATAGAGAACTTTATCTAAAACATAAAGTTTCAACTCCCATTCTTGTCTCAGTATTTGAATTTTCAAACAATTGTAATTAATGAAGTCTGAATTATTTAAACAATTGGCTCCAATTTCCATTATTTTCCTTATACATGAACTTCTAAATTTATATTTATTTATTTTTGGAATCATAATAAATAGATACTATTTAAAATTCCATTTTGATTGTGTAGACAATGCACTTTTATTTCTCATTATTTGTTTAGTTGACTATTTGTAAGCTTCATATTTTAAATTGCCACTCAAATGGCAATACTGATATGTATACACACAACTACCTATTTTTAGTGTTTTAAAAGAGGCATTCAACCAATATTCGCTTAATATGAAAAATATAAATGGCATTTAATAATTTTAAACTCTACTTTTAACTTCAATCTTGAAGCTGAATTTTTTATATAGTCATTTATCATTTATGTCCAATTCTTATGACTCTGTTTGGGGTTTTCTTGGCAAAGATACTAGAATGATTTCCATTTCCTTCTCTGAATCATTTTACAAATGAGAAAACTGAGGCAATGAGGGTTAAGTGACTTGCCCAGGGTCACATAGCTAATAAATTTCTGAGGCCAGATTTGAACTCAGGAAGAGGAGTCTTCCTGACTCCAGGACTGGTACTCTATCCACTTGACCACTTAGTTTACCAAGTTGAAATATCAGTATTCAAATAACGTAAGCTTATTTTTCATTTTTTAGGTTACTATATGTATATTGAGACCTCTCGGCCCAGATTAGAAGGAGAAAAGGCCAGATTACTGAGTCCTGTTTTCAGCATAGCCCCCAAAAATCCTTATGGAGCCACAAATACCGCATATTGTTTCAGCTTCTTTTATCACATGTATGGACAACATATAGGTAAGATAACGTGAGCTACTATGTTTCTCTTAAAACGAAAATGAGAACAAAGTCTCATAAGAACACCAAACAAAATTAATTCTGGCCTAAATAGCCATGGTTGATGTGTTTTTTTGACAACTTTCATAACAATCAATCAGGAATTTGGAATTTCTTTTCTCACTCCCTAAGTTTATAACCAAATTAAAAATCAAATGAAAGAGCTGAACCTTTTTCTCTAAAGGAGGATAATTCAGCAAAATCTCCGAAAGGGATGAATTCTAAAATCCTTTTGGAGCAGATTTTAGCTTATGTCTCTTATACAAGATGTTTAGCTGACTAATTATGTAATACATTTTAACAAGAGTGGAAGAGTTGTCATATTTAAAATAACTTTATAACTTTAGAGCCTTCATTTTCTTGTTTGCAAAACTCATCCTATTTGCAAATCCCAATACAAAATACTGTGTGATGGATTCCATAGATCTTTCAACACATGCATTTATCAGTTCCAACTTGTTCAAAGATAGCTGACTTCTTTTAATTTTTTAATGCGTCTTTGCTTTCATCATTGTGAGGCCTTCATCTATTATGTATTTGTTGCCCATATTTCCCATAATTCCTATATATTGTATATGGTATCTATCCTATGCATTTGGAAGACCTTCTTTTTGTATTATTTGTTTTGATATTTACTCAACAATAACATACCACATACTTTGCCCATTAGATAGTCTTATAATGTGATTAAAGGCAGCATTACAAAAAGTAGTAGTTTATGGTGGAGAGTGAACTTGATCTGGAGTCAGAAGACCTATGATCAAGTCTTTACTCTGACATGTAAAAGCAATGTGATCTTGGACAAGTTGTATATCTTCCCTGAACTTACACCAAAAAAATGGAACTAATAATACTTGTATTACTTATTTAATTTTCATTTGTTTTTGAGAACTAAATAAGCTGATTCATAAAAGGGGGTTTTGTAAACTTTAAAGTGCAAAAGAACTATGTAAATATAAATTGTTAGTGTTATTACTTAAAGATTTAACTAGTGAATTTGTTATTTTCATGTTTATGCAAAGTATCTGACTAACTACAGAGTCAAAACCACTAGAATGAGAATTTGAGATTTGCAGATATTTATTTTACATGCTGATAGGATTGTGTGTGCTAGATTGCTAATGACTGATAAACTTTCCACTTTCTAGAAATGGAGCACCATAGCACTTTAGATTTTACTCCCTCAAAAATGTGTCTTTGAACATTTAGTATTGACATCTAAATTCAACATTGCCCACGGAAAACACAACCTCTTCTATGTAAAAAAAAATTCCCTCCTCCCTATTTGTTGATGAATAAAATCTTCTCTGTTATCCAGGCCAAAGACCTAAGAGTCATTTTGGCCCTCTCTCCCACATATAGTAAATTGCCAGATTATATGGTTTTGCCTACATAATATCTTTAACACTGGCTTCCTATTCATGGTCAGTCTTATTGTCAGCTTTTTTTAAGTGCCTACCAGAGAGGGCAGAGCCAAGATGGTGGAGTGAAAGCAGTGACTTGCATGAGCTCTCCCCAAAACCCCTCCAAATACTCATAAACAATGGCTATAAACAAATTCTAAAGCAGCAGAACCCACAAAAAGACAGAGTGAAACAAATTTCCAGCCCAATTCAGCCTGGATGATTGATCAGAAAGGTATATCACGTCATGTTGGTAGCGGAGCGCAGCACGGCATGGGCACCCAGGCCATAGTGAATCTGGAGCAGGCCTCAGAGGACTGTATCACAGGCAGCTGTGGTGGCTTCCAGACCTCTCAACCCACAAACACCAAAGACAACTTAAAAGGTCAGTGGGAAAAGTCTGTTTCTGCAGTGCTGAGACAGGAATGCGGTGTCTCTGCTTCATTCCCTAAGAGCTTGGCCCTGGGAGGGCTCAGCTGCTCCAGAGCTTCTGGCCTGCAGACTGAGGGGGAATCCAGTGGCTGATCAGAGAGGGACTGTAGGGATCTCTTTGCCAGTGCTGAGGCAGGAATCTCTTGCTTTGCCCATGCTTGGATCTGGGTCACAGTTCTGGGCAGCAGTGCTGGGGTGAGGAGGAGCACTGGCGTGGTGGAGCTTGTAGTGGCTGTAGACCTCTCTACACCCTCATCACAGTTACAGGATAGAAAGGAGTACTTGTGGTCACAGGCCAGGAAAGGGGTAAACACCTCGCCCCTTATCATACCACCTTGGAAGAACTGAAAATTTACAGGTCCCTACAAGTATCTCTGAAAACAGCTATACAAACCCCTGAACTTGGGACAGACACTCTCCACATTGGAAGCAGACTCTTACCTTAACAAAGAGTTTAAAACTCAAGTAATTGGCTGGGATCATGAGCAAGCAGCACAAAAAGAGTCAGACTATATTATCTTACTTTGGTGAAAAGAAGATCAAAATATACAACCAGAAGAAAAACAAAGTCAAAGCTCCTACATCCAAAGCCTCCAAGAAAAATATGAATCAGTCCAGGCCTTGGAAGAGCTCAAAAGGGATTTTGAGAAGCAAGTAAGGGAAGTAGAGGAAAAACTGGGAAGAGAAATGAGATGATGCAAGAAAATCATGAAAAACAAGTCAACAGCTTGCTAAAGGAGACCCAAAAAATACTGAAGAAAATAACACCTTAAAAATAGCCTAACCCAAATGGCAAAAGAGGTCCAAAAAGCCAATGAGGAGAAAAATGCCCTAAAAAGAAAAATTGGCCAAATGGAAAAGGAAGTCCAAAAGATTACTGAAGAAAATACTTCCTTAAAAATTAGAATAGAGCAATTGGAAGCTAGTGACTTTATGAGAAATCAAGACACTGTAAAACAAATCCAAAAGAATGAAAAATTAGAAAACAATGTGAAATATCTCATTGGAAAAACAACTGACCTGGAAAATAGATCCAGGAGAGAGAATTTAAAAATTATTGGACTATCTGAAAGCCATGATCAAAAAAAGAGCCTAGACATCATCTTTCAAGAAATTATCAAGGAAAACTGCCCTGATATTTAGAACCAGAGGGCAAAATAGAAATTGAAAGAATCCACAGATCTCCTCCTGAAAGAGATCCCCAAAGGAAAACTCCTAGGAATATTGTAGCCAAATTCCAGAGTTCCCAGGTCAAGGAGAAAATATTACAAGCTGCCAGAAGGAAACAATTCAAGTACTGTGGAAACACAATCAGGATAACACAAGATTTAGCAGCTTCTACATTAAAGGACCAGGGCATGGAATATAATATTCTGGAGGGCAAAGGAGATAGGATTACAACCAAGAATCACCTACCCAGCAAAACTGAGTATAATCCTTTAGGGGGAAAAATGGTCATTCAGTGAAATAGAGGACTTTCAAGCATTCCTGATGAAAAGACCAGAGCTGAATAAAAAATTTAACTTTTAAATACAGGACTCAAGTGGAACATGAAGAGGTAAACAGGAAAGAGAAATCATAAGAGACTTATTAAGATTGAACTGTTTACATTCCTGCATGGAAAGATGATATTTATAACTCATGAGACTTTTGTCAGTATTAGAGTAGTTGAAGGAAAATTTATATGTATGTTAGATAAATAGATAGAGGGCACAGGATGAGTTGAAGATTAAGGGGTCATATCTGGAGAATAAAATTAAGGGATGAGAGAGTGATACTCAGGAAGAAGAAAGGAGAGGTAGAAGGGTAAATTATCTCACAAAAAAAAACAGAAAGAAAATCTCTTCAGTGGAGGGGAAAGGGGAAGGTGAGAGGGAATGAGTGAATCTTATTCTCATAGGATTTGGCTTAAGGAGGTAATAACATACACATTCAGTTGGGTATGCATATTTGTCTTACCCTACAGGAAAATAGGGGGAGAAGGGGCTAATTAAAAGTAAATACTTCTGAGGAGGGACAGGGTCAAAAGAAAGAATAGAATAAATGGGAAGGCAGAATAGGATTAAGGGAAATAGAGTTAGTTTTTCACAGGATGTCTACTATGGAAGTGTTTTGCATAACTGCACATGTATAATCTATATTGAGTTGCTTGCCTTTTCAACAAGTGTGGGTGGGGAGGGAGGAAGGGAGACAATTTGAAACCTAAAGTTTTAAAAACATATGTTTAAAAAAATGTTTTCACATGCTACTGGGAAATAAGAAATAGAGGAAATGAGGTACAGAAGGAGATAAGAGAAGGGGACAAGACATAGAAGAGAGGACAGACTAGGGGAAGGGATATTCAGAATGCATGCCATCTTGGGGTGAGTGGAGGGGTGAATTGGGGTGAAAATTTGGAATTCAAAATCTCATGGAAGTAAATATTGAAAACTAAAAATAAATAAATTTATATTAAGTGCCTACCACATGCCAAGCACTATGTTGGGGGTGGAAAAAAAAAGATAAAAGACTTGCCTTCAAAGACCTCATAATCTATTGGAGGATACAACATGCAAACTATGTAAAAATAAGTTATATGTAGTATTATAGAAAATAACAATGAAAAGGCACTAGAATTAAGGGATTGGGATACAATTCCTGCAAAAGGTAGAATTTTGGCCAGGATCCAAAAGAAGCCAGTGAAGCCAGGAGGTAGAGATGAAGGAGAGTACTCCATACAATGGTGATACACAGTAAAAGTGAACAGAGTTGAAAAATGCAATGTCTTGTGCAAGGAAAAACAAAAAGGCCAGTGTTATTGGATCAAAAAGTGAAAGACAGTGGTAAGATTGTGAAGACCATAAGGGGTGGAGGGGACTGGGTTTTGAAGAACTTTAAATGTTAAATAGATCATTTTATTTTTGATCCTGAGGTGATAGGAAATCACCAGAGTTTATTGAATAGGAGAATGACATTATTAAAAGTAGGTATGTTAAGAAAATCACTGATAGCTGAATGGAGGATGCCCTGGAACCTATATGTTATTGCAATAATTCAAACATGAGGTTGAGTGCCTGTACCATGGTGGTAGTAATTTTAGAAGAGAAAGGAGGGAATATTGAAGAGATGCTGCAAAATTGAAATTAA